GAGCTCGGTGAGTGCGGTTAACATGAAATAGCCCTTAGCCGGCACGATAGCCACTCTTTAGCCTGATGGACTCCCGACTCTCTTCTCAAACTCTTTCTCTCTCTCTCTCTCTCTCTCTCTCTCTCTCTCATTTTCTTTTTCTTTCTTTCTCACTCACTCATCGTCCTTCGCCCGCTTTTGGTTTGAACGACCTGGTGGGTATCACTCTTTCGACTATCTCTCCCTCTCTCCCTCTCTCCCTCCCTCTCTCTCTCTCTCTCTCTCTCTCTCTTTTTGTGTAAATTTTTTTTTCTTTCTTCTTTATTCATTTATTTATTTGTCTCTTTTTAGAGAAGTCCTTTGTATTCTTACCGTATTTCTTTCAACGTAACACAACGTAGCACAGCACAATACAATATCCATGACGTTTTTCCTTTTTCGTAATGTTAAAAAGTCAATGAAAATCTTTCGTTTGTTATTATTCTCTAAATGCGTACGCATAGTATAATTTATCCTTGAGTATTATACCAGTGATAACGTTCATCATAATTTTTTTTACGCTAATGATACGTTTAATGTTCAGCGGTTTTTGTCGACCCATGGAATCTTCTTTATTTGTTGATTTTTTTTTCTTTTTCCTTTTCTTTTTTCTTTTTCTTTTTTTATCTTAGCCTTATCTAATTTCTCTCTTCTTTTCGTTTTAATATTTACGTTTAACTTACTTTCCGTTAAATTTCTTTTTCTTCCAGTTTGATTTTGTGAAATTGATTTCTCTTTTTTTATAAGAACAAAAAATACACACGAACCACCTGGATGTTTTATTTTTTAAATAAAAATATATCATGCAGTATTTGAATGCACATTAGGAAAAAGAGAAATGAGATTTTTATTAATGAAGAGAATTATGTTTGTCTTTTTTTTTTTTTTTTTTTTTAATGTATATGTATGTATATGTATGTATGTATGTATATATGTATATCAGGTTTATCAAGAAGGAGATTAAAATGTGTAGTTACAAGTTTTTATTCTCGTTATTTTACTTACAAGACAAATTAGATTGTTATTTTTAAAGATATTTTTTTTTGCATCAGATTTATTTTTATTTTTAAATAAAAAAGTAAACTTGTTAGACTCCTTTTAAACTTAATTCTGTCTTATTTGTCGAACGTTAAGAGATCGAAAATATTCTAGATTATTATCATAAACAAACTACAATAGAAATCTTCGAAGGAATTAAAGATCCATTTTAAAAAGTTTATATTTTGCAATCTAAAAAAAAGGAAAAGACGCAGTTATCTTTTTCCTTCGTTTCATCGTTTCTTTATCATAAGCTGGTAATATATTTTTAGATCTTCCAGACTTCTTTCAGTTCTCTGCAGATGGCGCTCTAGTACAGCGAGTACTGGTGAAATATTTTTAACTGCTATCGATATAGTAGAGTTCTACTTATCTTATGAGTAATCTAATGGTAATCTGAAGTTCTATACCGGGAAAATTTGAATCACAAATATCAGCTTATAAAGTTCACATAAAAAAAGAATTTAATCTTATTTTACTTTTTAGATATTAAATATTAGAAAAAAAAAATAAAAAAAAATAAAAAAAAATATATATATAATAGTAAATGATATTTTCAAAATATTCTATATAAAATTCACAAAAATTTTGATAATTTGTAATTATAATAATATTCAATTTGTTAAAAATGTAATATCATTATTGGAACTTAGCAAATATCTAATATATATATATATATATATATATATATATATATATATATATATATATTATTATTATTATTATTATTATTATTATTATTATTACTATTATTATTATTATTATTATATATAGATAGAAAAGAGGATAAAATTCAAAAAGTTACTTAATCGCAGAGTATGCTTTATTAAATAAATTATGTACAAATCCTCGCATTCGAAATTTTAATCGATGAAACATACTTGACTAATACAATATATAAATAAGAGTATTGTTATATTCTCAGCTCTATAATACGATTTCTTCACATTATCAGAGGCCATTACTTTTGCAGGAGAAAAAAAAACAGGAGCATCTATATTATGAGAGAAAAGCGTTTTTCCGATCATCGACTTTTTGTGACAACAATTTTTACTTGCCGAAAAAAAGAAAAGATAAAAAAAAAAAGAAAAAGAAACAAAAAAAGCAATGAATGGAATAATCTTCGAGAAATACTCGTAGATTATTAGTAGAAAAGATTAATAGTAGTCAATTGTTTAAAAAAAAAAAAAAAAATGTTCTTTCTCTCTATGTTTTTTCTTGAAAAAGAAAAAAAAAGAAAAAAGGAAAAGAATGCAAATCTTTTCTTTTTCTTCATTTATCGATTTTATCTCTTGGTCTTGTTCCTTTTTAGAACAGCGATATTTTCTTTTAACATTTGACAATATTAGAGTTATCACAGACTGTTATTTATAGCTTAAACGCTAATACAATCTTAAAGTAAGAAAAATTATGATAATTAACATTTTTCTTTTTCTCTATCTCTCACTTTCTCTCTCATGGTTAAAGCATATACAAGAAGGAAAGAATTAAATGAATTTGCATCGTACTAAAAAAAAAAAAAAAAAAAATAATAATTTTTATTAATTCTTTTTTTCTCTCTTTCCTAAGTTCGTATATATCCTTCATTGTCTTTCTTTTCTTTTTTTTTTTTAGTATCTTTTTCTTTTTTCTTTATGTTGGTTTATCGCTGTTTCTGGACGGCAGAATATTAACAATAATGATAGAAAGAACGCGATAAAAGATGCGGTGTCTTATCATTCATCTTCTTCTTCTTCTCTCTCCCTCTCTTTCTCTTTTCTTTTTCTTTTAATTTTTTTAATGGACACATTAGAAGCAAAAATATTTTTTTATTACCATTTAGTATCGTAAGAAAGTTGTAGCAATCGTTAAAGAAAATTCTCTTCTTTTCGCCTTACTTTTATATTTACTTCTTTTTTCTTTCTTTTCATCTCTTTTTTTTTTTTTATTCGGACGTAGCTATATATATATATATATATATATATATATATATATATTTATATATGCATGTATATATATTTTTTTCTTTTCTTTTCTTTTCTTTTTCTTTTTTTTCTTCTTTTTTTTTTATAATCATCTTCGCTATTTACATATTAAGTGTTTAATACAAAACGATATTTTTTTTTTAATCCTTAAAGGCTATCTCATCATGAATAAAAATTTCTTTTTTCTTCTTCACATTTTCCTTTTCCTTTTCGTCCCCCTCCTTCCCGCCCTTTTTTAATTCAAGTGCATTTATAATTTGTAATATTGTTTAAAAATTTTATTAATTATTGATATAATATTGGTAACTTATTTTTCCTTTTTTCTATTCTTTTGTGAATATTTGTACAACTTAATTAATTTTCATTTGATCTTAATTAATTAATTAATTAATAATAATAACAATATTATTAATAATAATAATAATAATAATAATAATAATAATAATAATAATAATTATAATAATAATACAAAAATAATAATAGTGATAATAAAAAGAAAGAAAAAAAAAAGGAAAAAAGAACACTCATAATCAAATTTGTTTTAACTTAATTAACACTTATGATAGTTTTTAAGGATTAAACATTTATAATCTTCTTCTACCTCTTTCTCCTTCTCCTTCACCTCTCTTCTTTTCTTTTATTTTTTACCAATCGTATTTTCTCAAAGAAAACTAAAAAATGAACGCGAAAAACAAAAAAGAAAAAAAAAAGAATAAGAATAATAATAAATGAATATTACGATTACTTGGTGGTCCTATACGCACTTATTATCATATAATTATTTAATTACATTTAAAAAACACACGTATACACGCACACACACACGTATATGCACATGCACACGTACGTATGGATGTAAAAACGTATATGCATTAATTAATTAATTCAATAAATGAACAAATGGTTTAACTAATTGAATAATTTATTGTTTACATTTAAATTCGTCGCTCGATTTGTTTTATTATCGGAAAGAAAGAAAAGAAAAAAAGAAAAAGAAAAATAGACAAAATAAAAAAAAAAGAAAAAGAGACAAAAAATTTATTTATATTTAAAATTATCACAAGCAACACCTTTGCTTTTTTCTGTCTTTTCTTTTTTTTTTGATTTTACTATCTTTCTCGATTAGAATGGAGAAAGAGAAGTTTTCAGAATGTAAAAAAAAAAAAAACAAAAAAAAACAGAAAGAAGAAAAGATGGAAGAAAAGAAAAAGAAAACATGGAGATAGTTACAGATTGTTCATTTTTTTCTTTTGTCTTGACTTAAAAAATAAAAAAATACGTCTTTTCGTTTTCTTCTCTCCTTTTTTGTTTTTGTTTTAAATACTAACAAAAATCAGCAACAGTTACGAGATATCATTCGTATGTGTGCGCGTGTGTGTGTATATAGGCGCACATTTAGATATAGTTATCTTTATGTTATACACGAATTATGATAGTTAAATTAATAATTAATATAATTAATGCTCTTAAGACATATATATATATATATATATATATATATATATATATGTCTTATATATATATATATATATATATATATATATATATATATATATATATATATAGAATATTAATAATACTATACAATTACATATACTATACATGTTATATAGTAATATTAATAATACTATACAATAATATGTTTAGAATTCAGTACGAATAATAAAACAATATTTTCTTTTCTTTTCTTTCTTTCATAAGTCAACGAAAATGAAAATGAAATGGAAAAAATGAGATCGATGATGTCTAAACTTATTTCATTTCATTTCATTTCATTTCATTTCATTTCATTTCATTTCATTTATCTTCTCTTTTTCCTTACATACCATCGTGTTTGTTTAGCTATGGCTCCATCTTGTATATGTGCGCGTGTATATATATATATACATATGTGTGTACGTAAGCGCGTGTTTTGTATGTACCTATCTTTGTTTGCTCAATCGCACTGTATTTTTTATTTTTTTTTATTTTTTTTTTATTTTTTTTTTTATTCTTTTTTTTATTCTTTTTTCTTCTTTTTTTTTTTTTTTTTTTTTTTTTAAGTAGGCTTAATATTTTCACATTCAATCAATTCATTAACAACAAAGTTGAAAAAATTCAGACTTTATGCTAATTCGATCTTGTAGTAAAATGTGATGTGACTTGATTACTCGATTAGAATTCTAAGAGATTTTTCAGAACTTTGTCGATAAATTAGAAATAATAATAATAAGAAAAAGAAGAAGAAGAAGAAAAAAATAAAGAAATGGATACGCGAAGGATCGACGCAAAGGATCGACTAAAGTAGTTTTTAGATTCTTTCAAGACTTACATACGCATACATTTATTACATAAATGTGATAAAGAGAAAATTACTATTCTCTCTCTCTCTCTCTCTCTCTCTCTCTCTCTCTCTCTCTCCCTCTCCCTCTCTCCCTCTCATAGATTGTTTTCTTTTCTCTTTTAACAAGTATCATAACAAACCTAAAATATATATACGTTCGCACGATATAAAACCAACCAATCATACAAAAGATCCATGATCATTAATTGGAACTTGTGGGATCACTCGGAATAGCCTTGGTATTATTAATTTTTATCACTTCTTTCTTCTCTCTCTCTCTCTCTCTCTCTCGCTCTCTTTTTTTCTTCTTGTTATTATTTCCTATAACTCGTACGAATATAAGAGAGATGAATAGAGTGTAGTTGAAAATAATTAAAAATATTCGATTGAAAAATTTGAAGAAGGAATAAATTTATAATATTTAAAATTATCGCGATTTATATCCTCCTTCCTATATACATATCCATACATATTAACACCCACCCATCCACCCCACCCATACACACACACATGCACACACACAAACATCTATCGTGCAAATCCAAGGAAATCAGTTAATCTGTCGTTCCAATCATGCAACCAATGTGTTGGTCCATGGTTTGTTTGTCTTTGTTGTTTACAGCATTTATTCGTGTCCTTTTCAATTGGCATATATTCCTCTCCGCGAATACAAAAATAACTTTTAATCGGGCTACGACACATCGGACAACGATCGAGCTTACCGAAACAGGATGCACATATGCAAGTATGCCTGCACGGTAATAGGGCACGTGACAATGGAAAATATTGGCAAACTACGCAAAGTTGTTCGCCGGTTGTGTTCCAAAATGAACCCTCGGAATCACTATTACCCGATGCTACCAAAGCACCTCTCGTTGAACTGCCATTATTGTTACATGGTTCGGCTAATGCCAATGCTGGGCCCAAGCCAGATGACACTTCACCTTCGTCGTAATTCGTTGAATTTCCAGTAGCCAGATATAATTGCTAAAAATTTCATATATATATGTATATGTATATATATATATATATATAAACGTTAAAATATGTATATAAATTATGTATAAATTATAATTTGTCAGATATCGATTTATTCGAAAATTTCTTATATAAGGGTTAAAACTAAAGACAATGACATATTTATCATATAAATTGATTTATTTAAAATCGAAAAACAACAACAACAATAACAACAATAACAACAACAATAATAATAATAATTTTATATTATTTAAAATAAATAAATAAAATAAAAGTAAAAAAGTAAAAGTAAAAAAAGGTTGAATCTAATTTAGAATAGTTTTTCTATATATTTATTTTATTTATTTTTTAACACTGTTGTGTTATATGAATAAAAGAAATTTGATAAAGAAGAGAAAGAAAAAAAAAAAAAATACAAAGAAAAAGAAGAATATTTTCAATCTTCGATGATACGTTGTGCATATACTTAATTTGTGCAACATTCTTAATTTTATTTAATAGATGTTTACAAAAATAGTAACGACGAATGAATACTGACCTTGAGACAGGATAATTGCCCATTAGCTTGCTTCAAATATTGTGCTAAAATCGAGGTCGGCAATGTGCACACGTTGTCCTTAATATGGACGACATTCACCAAAGCAACCTTTCGAAAAGAAAAAAATATATCAAAGAAAAATGTATTATTAATACAAAATATGAGTATAAGCTGATTAGAATTAAATTGATTTAAGTAGAATGAATTAATCTTTTTCTTTTCTTTTTCCTTCTCTTCTTTTTTTTCTTTTTTTTTCTAAGTAATCACATTCACGAATTTATTTAAATAACTCTTCTTTCATTATTTGCGAGATAATAATAATAATAATTATATAATAATAATAATAACAATATGTATATATATATATATATATATATATATATTTTGTAAGAAAAACTTCATGATGGAAAAATTTTAATTAATTTTTAGTAATTTGCAAATAGACATTGATGATAGAAAATAATTTTGTCTGTTTTTTTCTTTTTTTACACAATTGTTTAAAAAAAAATAAAATTCATGAAATAAAATACGAAACAAAAAATTAATAAATAAAATAAGATATTGAAAAATATTCTCATGAACATATGATCAATTACACGACACAAATTTTAAATAAGATGATTTAATCATTGTTGGAGAAAGAGATTCAGATAAGAATATAAATAGATCAATTGATAAATAAATAAATAGAGAATGAGAGAGAGAGAGAGACAGAGAGAGATAGAGAGAGAAAGAGAGAGAGAGAGAGAGAGAGAGAGAGAGAAAAGGAGAGACAGAGAGAGACAGAGAGAGAGAAAAGGAGAGACAGAGAGAGACAGAGAGAGAGATGATTCGTATTAACAATTGCATCAAGATTATATTATTAATGGCAGGAAATAATTCTTTTTTGTTACACAATTTTTTAGAAAAAAAAAAAAAAAAAAAAAAAAAGAAAAAAAACGGTACACACACACACACACAAATATGGCAGAAAATTATTCTTTTTTGTAGCATGTTAAAAAAAAAAGTAATGAGCGAAGTACGATCCGAAATACAGGAAAAAAAAAAAAGCAAAAAAAGAAAAGATCACCATTAAAGAAAGAGAAAGAAAAAGATAAAGAGAAGAGCGGAAAGGGAGAAAAGAAATAATTCGTACTTACAGTTTCATCAGGATGTGGATCGCCATTATCTCTGCGAGTGAGGAATATCACTAACGGATAACAAAGCCGTGGTGGTGTTCCCAACTCTAATTCTGGTGCCGGAAGCGATAATCTCAATGTTTCTTCTCCATGTGGTTGTCTACTATATTTAATCGGTAAAGAAAATTCTAGTTGAAGTTTAGATAACATTTAAACAGTTAGTTTCTCAGAATCATAACATTTCTTTAGGAGGTTTATAACATCAATTTTGATTTTGTGATGATTTTTATTACTGTTTACGATTAAAGAAAAAGAAAATATATAATCAAATATATTTTCTATTCTTAGATTTAACAGCTATCCCTTTTTTTTGTTTTCTCTCTCTTTCTCTTTTTTTTTTTTTTATTTTTTTTTATTAATATAACCATGTTTAATACAGTTAATTACACGTGTCTGATATTGATGAATTAAAATTAAAAATTAAGATTTATTTTTGGATCTAATCGAGGCTTTTCGAACTTTTTCTTTCTATTCTTTTTTTATTCTTTTTTTTTTGTTTTTACTTTATTTATTTATTTATTTCTTCATTCATTCATTTGTTTTTTTATATTATGATAAAAATTATTCACGAACGTTAGGAAAGAAGACAAATGTAATATTGAAGCATACACCATGACATTTATATATTTGAAAATATTTCGAACGATTTGCATTAGCATTTAGTGGAAACTAACGAAATTTCACGTGTTGCATATAATCATTCGTAAAATATATAAATGTTAGATAACGAATATTTTTAAAGAAGAATATTAAAGGAATGAAAAAAAATGAAAGAGCGACATAGATGAACGAAAGAAAAGGAAGGAAGGAAGAGAGAAAAAAAAAGAAAAAAAAAATTAACGTAAATTATTGACTTTTAATAAAAAATTAACTTTTAAATGTCACGTGCGATTTGCTTTATCAGGCTTTCTTACAGCTTGTGACCGTGAATATATATGATTAAAAATAACCATCGGTGTTGTTTATTTACAAAGTCCCCGGCATTGCCTTCGCTTATGCCTGGACAAACATTATCTTTCTTTTCTTTTCCTTCGTTTTTTCCTTTTCTTTTTTTTTTCTTTACAAATGCATGCGATATTTGAACGGTATATTTTAAAAGATGAAAATAACTGAACGTAATTAAAAAAGGATGGATGAATTACGAAAGGAGAAAAAAAGGAAAGAAAAAAAATAGGGAAAAAAAGGTATCCCTTTCAATAAAAATACATTAGAAAGATTTGATTTTCGTAAGATGTTCTCGGAACTTTAATGTACGCGCAAAGAATGAAAATCGTGAATAAAAAAGATTTTTTTTGAATCGTTAAAGACACTTTTTTTATTTTTTTTTTTTTTCGTCTATTTGTTCTCAACGTGGTCATTCTCGACGCAATTGTTTTTCGTCTTTTTGAAATATAATTAACATTTATATTGAAAATATAAAATTTGAAAAATTCAGTATACGTGTTTGTGTGTACGTGACTTCCAAATTGTACGGTGTTAGATTAAAAATAAAAAAAGTAAATAAAAAAGAAAAAAAAAAAAAAAGAAATTAACAAGAAAAAAAAACTATTGATCTTCTCGATAAAAAATATATTCATAGAATTTGGACTTTTTAAAAACGCTTCGATATTCGTGAAATAATATGCAAAAGCTATCGAAAAAGAAATGTAAATACATAAGTATTTAAAATTGGCTACCGTCTCTTTGATGGGATTAAAAAAAGAAAACAAAGAAAAAAAATTAACAAAGAAAAATTGTATAATAAATGAAATTAAAATTAAAAATTAAAAATTAAAAAAAAAAACAAAATAGTTAAAAAAACATGAATACCTGACGATCTACAAATAATAGAGATGACGACATACGGATAAATCTGACGATCTTTAATCTGACGATCTTTAAATTACATAGTGTTATAGAGAGTTACAATTCTACGAACAAATAAACAAACAACAAGAAGAAAAGAAACGAGAAAAAAAAATAGAAAATTAAAAAAAAAATGAAGAGAAAGAAAAAACATTTTTTTTTTTTTTTTTTTTTTTTTTTTTTTAATTAAATAAAAAAAGAAAAAATCATAATATCCATAATGTCCGGAAACGATGGAGCAAAAAAAAGAAAGGAAAGAAGAAAAGAAAGAAATAAAAATTAGAAACGTTGATATAAATTTGATGATAATTAGAGTAGCATTTTTTTTTTTTAAGATACAAAAGGATACGTTTGTGGTGGTGTTAAATATTGAGCGTGGTTTTGGAGAAGCGTGCCGTTCAAGGACGCCTCTCTGAGATTGCTCCAGGGCTTCCAAAGGGCCAAGTGAAGTTCCCTTATGCTGACACCCCACATAGCCTGTAGTGAGTATTCAACCTGACTGGATACCTCGCACTCAACTTCTGAAACAGAAGAAAGAAATTCTTTGTTACTATTTGTTTATCTCTTTTTATATTATTCCTTTTCTCTCTCTCTCTCGCTCTCTGTCTCCCTCTTTTCTTTTCTTTTCACAATTGTTTTCTTTTTTCTTATTTTTTTTCTTTCCTTCTTTGACTTCTCTGTTTTTGTATTATGTTTTTCTTTTCTATACTTTTTTCTTCCCTTCTCTCTCTCTCTCTCTCTCTCTCTCTCTCTCTCTCTCTCTCTCTCTCTCTCTCTCTTTCTTTCTTTATCTGAAACAATTATAGAAACTAGAACGCTGTTTTTTTAGAGCGACTTCGCATTCTGATCTCAGACACGTTATATCGTGTCGATATTTTTTTTTTTCTTTTTTTAAGCTGAGCCAACTTTTACCATGTGAATTATAGTTCTGCGATAGAGTATCTTGAAAAAAAAAAAAAAAAAAAAAAAGAAAAAGAAAAAATCAAGAATAATTACATTTTCGTTGGAATCTTAATAATTAAAGTTACTTTATTGCATAGAAACGCACACGTTTTTATTATGTGTACAATTTTAGATTAGAAATGTTACGAAAAAAAAAAAAGGAAAAAAATAATAATGTGATAACAATTAATACGTAAGAATATTATAATAACGTTATTATCTAAATATTAATTTCTTCGTCAATAAAATAGTTTGTATTCTAAATGATATCAATAGTTCTTTTCATATTTCATTTTGACTAATTATCCCAATTATATGATGATGTTTTAAATTAATGCACTCGAGCTATCGTAGTTTTATTCTTATATAAACATAATTTATTTAATATATAATTGTATCTTATTGTACTGATACTTATTATGTAATTAAGTTTATTGTTTATTTTGTTCCATATAAAAAGGTCACCCTGTATCTGAAAAGAGACATAAATAATTCGTTCATATAAATGATTCGTACATTTGTTTAAAACTTTACCATTATTTATTTTGTAAAATTTCAGGGAGAATAATATACTTAAAAAAAAAAAAAAAAAAAAAAAAAAATAAGTCATAGATGATAACTAATTTTTTTTATTTAAACGAGATACTTAAAATCAATTTAAATGTTTTAAGAAACAAATTCTGAATTTATTTGGTTTATTATTGTATTATGATAATAATTATTATATTATTTATAATATTAATTATAAATTAATATTAATTATAAATAATATAAATATGAAAATAATTTGATTTAATCAATATGTTTATGTTCGATCTGTAATATTTTTCTAACGAACACAAACACACACAACAATTTTACTAAATAAAAAAAAATTATTAAAAACACGTAGATAATCACAATGGAGATGATGAAAGTTTATTCAACTCCTTATCTAAAATTAAAATCACAGTCTTCTATTTTATATATTTATATGCAACAACAAAAAAATAATAATTCATCCATTTATATTAAAGAAATAAAGAAATAAAAAAAAAAAAAAAATAAAAAAAAAAAAAGAAAGAAAAGAAAAATTTTAGATCACTTCTACAATTATGTCACTAATAAAATTTCAAAAGAGTAATAAAATACCCTAAAAGAAGTAAAAATGTCTATATTAAAGAGAAAAAAAAATAAAAATAAAATAATTATTTCTCTGTTAAGTCATTCGACACACTTGGAATGAATTTTAAATAAACTATGTGAAACTAATTACACTATTATGTTGTTTATTATTAATAAAAGTCAAAGCCCCACAATTACAATATTATATTTTTTATTACAAATACTAATTGAAGCCACGATGAGAGATGGTGTAAATTTTTTTTCAATCCTTTGTCTGAAGTTAGACCCATGATTTTCTAATATAAATACAAAAAATAATTCCCCCACTTGTTTATAAATAAATGAAATAAAATATAAATAAATAAAAAATAAAATTAAAAAAAAAAAAAAATAAATCCAAAACACCAAAATAACACTTTTGCAATTACGTCACTAAAAAGATAAAAGACCCAAAAAGAAAAAAGAAAGAAAGAAAGAAAGAAAAAGAAAAAAGAAAAGAAAAAAAGGAAGAAAAAGAATTAATTTTTCTCTTAAAAGTTATTCAAGGCACTTAGAACGAATTTTGAACGAATTACACGAAATTAATAACAATATTACATTGTTTATTATAAATATATAGATGGATAGCCACGGAATCGGGACGACATTAGTTAAACGTATCAGTTTAACAATTATCGACGGATCATCAACGCGATAAACATTGTTTTTTTTTTGTTTTACATATTTTTTTCGGGGGGTTTTTTTTTGTTTATTGATCATTTTACGTACCCTTCGTGGCATTGTCATTCGATGTTCTCTTTAGTTTTCCATAGTCTTGGATTTAATCCGTCTTCCTTTATATGCATTCCCTTTTATCTTCATTATCCAAGTGCCTTTAAAGAAACACAATCACACGTAAGTAGAAGCTACCATGCTTATAATATACTCACTAATCACACATGGTTAAAGACTTCTAATGTCGATCGATCTATTGCGTTATCGATGCCTCGTGAATTTTCGATGAAACGTTTTAACCGATACTTTTAGCTGACGTTTAACTTTGGAATTAATATTTCCTAAATCGTTACATCGTAAGTCCCCAAAATGTTCAGATCATTTACGATCATAATGATCTTATCTGAAATTGTCCGATATATAATATATATATATATATATATTATGTTGGAAACTATGAAACGTGCGTTTTTGTTTAGTTATTTATTTTCATTCAACGCCCGTTTCATAATTTCCAACCTAATATATAAGTATTGGGTTGGAAACTATGAAACGGGCGTTTTTGTTTAGTTATTTATTTTCATTCAACGCCCGTTTCATAGTTTCCAACCTAATATATATATATACAGAATGTCCAAAAAAGCATGAGACCAAACTTATACTATGTATAAATGAATGAAAAAAGTTCATATAAAATTATGTCTAAAAATACTTTATTGAAAAGATATATGCTTGAAAAGATATTTATGATTTATATTCATTTATTAACGTAATGATTGGCCAACAATCAAGTGGCCTTCTAAGTCACCTGATCTTAACACACCTCTGATCTTTTATTTATAGGTTCACATGATAGAGTTGGTTTATAAATGTACAATAGAAATAAAAGATTAACTTTGGAAATGTATTCAACATGCATCTACTATTATTTCCAATACAGTTGGAACACCAAAATATTTCAATTCGGTAATTACTAATTCGACAAATGGAAGCCTATATTCTTAAAAATGGAGGAATTTTCAAATATTTCTTATAACTTATAACTATCACTTATAAATTATAACTATCTTTAAAAGCATATATCTTTTCGACGAAACATGTTTGGACCTAAGTTTATATAAAATTTTTTAATTCATTTTACTTCAGTAATACGTAGTATAAGTTTGATTCCATGCTTTTTGGATACCCTGTATATATATATATATATATCCGGTGCGTTATCGTAATTTTCTAAACGGAATTTTGAAAAATCAGTTGTATACTTTTAAACCACAATATGTGAAATTTATTCAATCCCACTTCAATTTTATTCAACTCACTTCATCCAAAATTAGAACCCATAATTTTTATAATTTAAATATCAAAAAATAATTTCTCCATTTATTATTAAAGAGAAAAAAATTAAAAAGAAAAAAAAAAAATTAAAAAATTAAAAAAATAAAAGAAAGCTCATCGTGTACATCAATTGTGTCATCTTATATAGGCTTTTTTATTTTTATTTTTTTTTTTTTCTGATTGTAAAACTCAACCATCGCCTCCCTCGAAAACTTTTATTTCTATCTTTTTTTTAATCCCATTTTTGTTTGTTTCTTTCTTTTATATTTTCTTCTTTTTCATTTCTTATTTTCTTTAACTTCGAAGAAACTTTCTTTTTTTTTTTTTTCTTTTTATTGTTCTTCTTTTACTCGTTTGCTTTTTATCGAATGAAGAATAGAAAATCGATAGAATCAATGGTAAGAAGTTATTTGCATAATTAGTTGCTTCGAGGTCGATAAACAGTTACTTATTATCTATAAGCATTATACGTGTGCAAATCTTTTATCTGTTTCTTGTTCGTGTTTTTCTATCTCTACGTTTTAATTTATTGCCGAGGCTAAAAGAAAAAGAAAAATAAAAAAAAAAAAAAAGAAGAAGAAGAAGAACAAGAGAACAGAAAAAGTCATAAGAAACGAAACAATCTGCATATAATTATTGTCTACACCAACTACATGAAATTTATTACTACTGAAGTAAGCGAATTCAAAATATTAATTTTTCAAATTTTTTAAATACAATTAAAAGGTTTCTTTTTTACATATGTGTATATATATATATATATATATATATATATATATACATATATACTATTTATATGTATATATACTATTTAATATATAATATATATTAAATATACATGTCACTGTAAGCTATAATGTGTCTTTCTATAATGTGTTTTTTTTTCTTAAGACGAATATTGTTTTATAATTTTGTTTCTTTTTCGATTTTATTTTTAAATCATTAGTTACTATTTCTTATAAGTATAAATGGAGTTATACCACTTTCAAACTATTGTTCGGAAATAAGCAATTGTTCGGAATATAAGCAATTCGAAATACTTTACTGATAAATAACATAAAGTTGTTCATGTAATTATGGCAACCGGAAAAAATTTACAAATAGAGTTAGGTTACTTTCAAAATAAATGGCTCATATATTTCTTTTATTTTTTTTTTTTATTTTTTTTTTATTTTTTTTTTTTATTTTTTTTTTTATTTTTTTTTTATTTTTTTTATTTATTTATTTTTTTACATAAAATCGCACGAAAATAAAAAGAACATTACTATTACTATTATTATTGTCATCGAAAAAAGAAGAAAAAAAAACAAGGATCAATGATATTTCTTACATTAAATTATACGTATAAACAAAATAGAAAATAATAATAAAAAAAAAGAAAAAAAAATTAATTAATTAATAAATTATTAATTATTAAAAAAAGGAT